GGGTGTGTGGGTGTGTGGGTGTGTGGGTGTGTGGTGTGTGGGTGTGTGTGGGTGTGTGGGTGTGGGTGTGGGTGTGGGTGTGGTGTGTGGGTGGGGTGTGGGTGTGGGTGGGTATGTGTGGGTGTGGGTGTGGGTGTTGGTGTGGGTGTCTGGATGTATGTGCGTGTGCGTATGCGTGTGCGCGTGTGTGTGCGTGTGTGCGTGTTTGCGTGTGTGCGTGTGTGCGTGTGTGCGCGTGTGTGTGAGTGTGTGTGTGCGTATGTGTGTGTGTGCGTGGTGTGTGTGCGTGTGTGCGTGTGCGTGTGCGTGTGTGTGCGTATGTGTGTGTGCGCGTGTGGGTGCGTGTAGGTGCGTGTGTTTGTGTGCGTTTGCGTGCGTGTGCGTGCCTGTGCCTTTGCGTGCGTGTGCGTGTTTGTGCGTGCCTGTGCGTGCGTTTGTGTGTGCGTGTGTGTGTGTGCGTATGTGTGTGTGTGTGCGTGTGTGTGTGTGCGTGTGTGTGTGTGCGTATTTGTGTGTGTGCGTGTGTGTGTGGTGTGTGCATATATGTGTGTGTGCGTGTGGGTGCGTGTGGGTGCGTGTGGGTGCGTGTGTGTGTGTGTGGTGTGTGCGTGTGTGCGCGTGTGCGTGTGAGCGTGTGTGCGTGTGTGCGTATGTGCGTATGTGCGTGTGTGCGTGTGTGCGTGTGGGCGTGGGGGCGTGTGGGCGTGTGGGCGTGTAGGTTTGGGTGTGGGTGTGTGGGTGTGTGTTTGCGTGTGCGTGTGCGTGTTCGTGTGCGTGTGCGTGTACGTGTGCGTGTGCGCGCGTGTGTGTGCGTGTGTGTGTGTGTGTGCGTGTGTGCGAGTGTGCGTGTGTGTGTGTGTGCGTGTGTGTGTGTGTGTGTTTGTGTGTGTGCGTGCCTGTGCGTGCCTGTGCGTGCCTGTGCGTGCGTGTGCGTGCCGTTGCGTGCGTTTGTGTGTGCGTGTGTGCGTGTGTGTGTGCATGTGTGTTTGCGTGCCTGTGCGTGCGTTTGTGTATGCGTGTGTGTGTGTGTGCGTGTGTGTGTGCGTGTGTTCGTGTGTGTGCGTGTGTGCGTGTGTGTGCGTGTGTGTGTGAGCGTGTGTGTGTGTGTGTGTGTGTGGGCGTGTGTGGGCGTGTGGGTGCGTGTGTGTGTGTGTGTGGGTGCGTGCGTGCGTGTGTGTGTGCGTGTGTGCCTGTGAGCGTGTGAGTGTGTGTGCGTGTGTGTGTGTGCGTGTGTGTGTGTGTGTGCGCGTGGGCGTGTGAGCGTTTGGGCGTGTATGCGTGTGTGCGTGTGTGCGTGTGTGCGTGCGTGCGCGTTTGCGCGTGTGCGCGTGTGCGCTAGTGCGCGTGTGTTCTTGTGCGTGTGTGGTGCGTGTGCGTGTGTGTGTGTGCGTGTGTGCGTGTGTGCGTGTGTGCGTGTGTGCGTGTGGGCGTGTGTGCGTGTGGGCGTGTGGGCGTGTGTGCGTGTGTGCGTGTGTGCGTGTGTGCATGTGTGCGTGTGTGTGTGTGTGTGTGCGTGTGTGTGTGCGTGTATGTGTGTGCGCGTTTAGCTGTTTTTAGAAACGTTGATGGCGTTACGTGTTCGTCTGCTTTCCATGGGTCGCTCTTCATTACGTTGCTCGACCCGAACGTGCAAAACATTAGCACGTCGGTGTCAGACAGGCGGCATTGTGGCATTGTGGTATCGAAAAGCGTATTAACAACGCAGTGAAACATTACACAGGTGGTCCGTGGGCCGCTTCTGGACCTGAAAGCGTAACGCACGTTTCCCAACGCAAATTGCAGAATTGCGTCCTGGACACGGGGCAAGGCCACCATTCTACTTGTTTCATCTCAGTGTGTGCGTGTCAGTTTAGTATGCCGAGTGAGTGAGCAATGTCAACGTTGTCATGTCGTTCAATGGTTTCACACAAATCCGTGGTGAAGCGCATGTGTGCATCTGCTCTTCTGTGATTCTTTGATTTTGTGCACACCCTGTCGTGTGTGGCGTCAGCATGGGGTCAGACAAGGAGGGCCTTCCCAAGCCACAGAGTACCGACAGGGATCGTATTCCCATGGAGGGGAAGACGCTGTGTTGGTGGTGCTTGGTACTGTTGAGAGTCGTCTTGGACCCGTGGAGTGAGAGGGGTACGGTCCCTGACAACTCATCGCGGTTTCGCACAGGTGCTGCGCGTTTCAGCGAAAGCGTGGCACGTTCGCGAGCACGAGGGCAAAGCGATGTAGTGGGACGTGACATTGGTAAGAGTCGCAGGTTGGGGCTCGTGAGGTGGGAAGTGCGCGATCCCTGATCAATCACTGCGTTTGGGATCGGTGTCGCGCTCGCACGCGGCATTCCTTGAGGGGAAAGCGTGGTCATGGTGGGGCGCACGTGATGGGGGCGGAAAGGGAGAGGAGGAGGAGAAGAATGAGGAGGAGCAAGGAGGAGGAGGAGGAGGAGGAGGAGGGAGGAGGAATCGGAGGAGGGGGAGGGGGAGGAGGGAAGAGGAGGAGTAGGCGGATGAGGAAGAGGAGGCTGAGGAGGAGGAGGAGGCTGAGGAGGAGACGGAGGAGGGCAAGCAGAAAGGCCAGATGCTTCTTTGATGCTCGCCTGAGTCTCTTGGGATGCCTCTTGAGAGCTTCTTGGAGTATTATTTGGGCGTCTTGGGGGCTTCTTGGCGGTCCCGCTTGGAGCGCTTTGGGTGCTTCGGGGAAGCCTCTCGGGGCCTCCTGTGGGTCTCTTGGGAGTCTATTGGGGACCTGTCGGGAGCCTCCTGGGCGAGTCCAGAGGCCCTCTTGGGGCACTCTTGGGCGATGTTGGAGCCATCTTGTAGGAGCTCGATCACAGAAGTGGGAGTGTGCTCAATTAGCCCCCCACCCACCCAGGAGTCCAAAATTGAACCTAAACCTTGGGAACATCAATGGTGTTTGCCTTCTCGTCGAGTCCATCTTGGACGACCTCACACCCCCCCGTCCAGGGCCAGGGGAGGGGGCAGGGAGGGGTCTAACTGCCCCACGCCGGAAGCCGTGTCACTCCCTCCCACCCGCCCTCTCACTACAGAATTACCCGAGTCTCAGCAAAGGCAGGGGCCGCCATTTCACAACCATCGAGAATGCAGACGCCAGCCAGGTGCGCGATGCCCGCGAGGTGCGCCGCAAGTGCCAGGTGCGCCACGCTGGGTTTACGAGCATTGTGCAGTACGTGTGGGCGTGCACCCGCAACCACCTTGCACTTGTTTTTGACAGGACTCGTAGACCTGCGCACATCAGGCAGTATGCCGCACCATCCGCTATCCCTAGCACAATAAACATTGCATCTTTTGTTGAAGCGGATCGTAGGCCTGCAAACAGCAGGCAAGATGCCGCCCCCTCCGCCGTCCCGGTCGAAAACAATCGCAAAATGATCGCCAGTCGTACGCGCATGATCCAGATTTTGGTGCAACGTGCATTTTGTACTATTATGGGATGGTTGGGTGGGGTTGGCATTGCACACGGCAGGCGATCTGCCAGTACCCTTGTCGCCCTTGCCAAAAAACCAATTCGAAGTGATCACAGGGCGTCCGCGCATGATGCAGATGTTATTGCGAAGTGTAGCTTGGTCTGGTTTGGGCCAGGGATTGGGGGGGCATCGGCATTGCACACAGCTGACAATATGCCAGCACCCCCGCTGTCCCTGTCAAACGCTAATGCCAAGTGATCATGGGGCGTCCGCGCATGATCCAGATTTTTAGTGCAAAGTGAATGTTGTCGGTTCTTGGATAGAGATGGAGGGGGGGAGGTCGGGAGGCATGATCCCGGGTTTGTCGCTGGTCGGGTGGAGGACCAGTGTATACTAATAAGGAATATTGGTAAACCCCTCCCCGGAGGGGAAGATGGAAGGGTGCAAGAGGAATTTCCCTAAACCACCAACGCCCAGAGGGCTGGTGGGATTCTGTCTGACTTGGGTGACACATTCGGGAGCCCTTCCAAAATGCAGAGTGCGTTTTGCGGGGAGGCAGATTGGAGGATGCGGCACCAGAGCATGTTGAGGTCTTGTCCGGGCTGAGAAGTGGGGCGCGTGCGTGGCTGCCAGTGCTCATCTGCCGCACAATGCTACGCGTGTCTGTGGATGCTTGGCGCGGCTTTGTGATCCCATGCGGTCGCGGCTTCCTCTTGTTTCACGTCGTCGTTGCGGCACCCTGCGATCTGCGCTGGATACATGGACCACTTCGCAGCAGGCCTCGCATCCTCGCCGCAGGCCGAGCATCCTACCACAACAGCGCGCGATTAGTTTTAAGTCGGGCCTGTCCCTCTGCAGGGGGAATCTTCTAAAATAGTCAAAACATAGTCTTGGGACGATCTTTTTTACTACTTTTGAGTATTTGGGTGCATGTTTTGACGACGTTGTATTTTTCATCGGAAATTCGCTTGTAGGGGGACGTGCCCGACCTAAGAGTAGTTCGTCCGCCGCCCCCTCCTGGAAGCAGCGCGGCGCTCCCCCCTGTTCCCCGCACCTCCGCCTCGACTCCTCCTGCGGGCGCCGCGTGAGCTGGGGCCTTCACTTTGCCTGCCCTCGGCGTTTGCCCAGGCATCGCCACTGAACAGGGGCAACGTCAGTCAGAGGAGGGAACGGTACCCATTCCTCTACCCTTCCCTCCTTTTCCCCTTCTTGGGCCTTCTCGGAGCCACCGCTGGATTCGCCTCGAAATTCTGGTCAGAACGCACCCCGAGAGAGGTCCGGGAGTAGCGGTATCGGTATCTGTTCGTTTCCCCAGTCAAGGGGGGACGGGCTCAGGGGGGCAGCAGGGCCCAGGGGCAACGTTCGGGGGGGACAGGCTGGGGATCTTGGAGCTCCCGATGGTCTTAGGGAGAGGGCCTTCTCGGAAGGTGGAGGGGACTTCTCAGAAGCCCCTCGCGCCCTCCGAGGGGTTCTTCTGGTGTCTCGGGGGAGGGCTTGGAGGACTTCTCAGGAGGCCGAGGGGCTTCCGAGCCTTCTGGGGAGGCCTTCTCCCTCTCGCTTCCCCCCCCCCCTCGCTCGCCGCCACACCATGGTCCCTAGCAGCTCGCCGCCGAGCAGGCAGGCGCTTTCCCTGTCCATGCCCTCGCGCACAGCTCGAGGAAGTCGGGGTCGGGACGGCCCCCTCGCGCTCGGCGCCCGTCTGCGCCGTGCAGCGGAGGCCCTGTCCGACCGCGGGGCCTGGCTCCGCCGAGCAGTGCCACACACGCAGGAGCGTGCGCTCTCCGTGCTGCCTCCTCCCTCCTCCCTCCTCCCTCCTCCTCCTGCTCCTCCTCCTCCTGCTCCTCCTCCTCCTCCTGCTCCTCCTGCTCCTCCTGCTCCTCCTCCTCATCCTCATCCTCTTCCTCCTCCCTCCTCCCTGCTGCTCATGGCGGTCGAGGGTGATCCTGTGGCCACGCACACCTTTCTTGCCCCTCCCACCCAGCAAAGACCTGGGTGGGAGGGGGGCTCATTAGGGAAAGGGTCAGAAAAAGGAAGACGAAGCGGTGTAGAGAGCATCATATCACCAAGGGACGATATAAACAAAGAGGTGGACATGGGAGATACACAGAGATTGCGCGCTTCCGCTTGTAAAAGCCGCCTGGGGGTAGCCGCAGTGGCTCGCTCTTTGGAGTAAGAGGCTGAGGGCGCGGTGACTGCTCTTTTGGAGAGGAGAGGAGGTGCTGCAGTTATCTTGCTCTCTTAGGGTGGGGTAAACCTCCCAGGCGGCAAGTGATCTGGTGCAGTCCTAGCGTCGGTGTCCTGCGGAGGCGGCAGCGAGGAGCCAAGTGTCGGTGCCGCACCGTTCGAAAACGGTGGGAAAGGTTGGGAGAAGGATAGGGGCAAGGACACACCAGGCGGCAGCGCCGATCCTAGGCGGGCCGTTTGTCGGGTGACATGTCCGCCCGTGCAGCTGCACTGCTGCGCACGTTGGCCACGCGCCGCAGCGCTCCCCGTGGGGGCAGCCGGGGTGTACACGTTGCGTTGAAGGTACGCGCGCGGCGGTGAAGCTCCTCGCGCCAGAGGAGACACGAGGCATCCTGCGAGGTTGAGGGAGGGGGAGGGGACAAAACTCGAAGTGGGCGGGCAGGAAAGGAGGGGGAACTCGGGAGAGGGCCCCTCACGGCGGGCCGTCTGGTAGGTCAGAGCGGATGCTGCGTTTGGAGCGCCCCTGGTCCCTCCGCAAGTCTGGTGGAGGCCCTGCTGGATCAAGCTCGGTGGTCTGATCCACCGTCCGCGCTTTATCGGGGTCAGATGTTCGAGGCAGGTCCAGCTGCGGCGAGAGGTGCGGGGTACTCGGCGACACAGCCAGAAGGGCTAGGCGTGGGGGGGGCGCCGAGGGGATCCCGTGGGGGGGTCCCATGTTTTGTCCTTTTTGGCCTGAGGCTGGGTCCTCTCCGGGATGGAGCGCCCTCGGGGTCTCGGTCCAGTGACCGTCCAGGCAGTTGGGCGCGGTGAGCTGGGAGGTGTCGGAGCCGCGAGTGTCCTCGCACTCCTGGACGCTGAATCGGCGGCCCCACATCTCTTTGCCGTGAAGTAGATCACAGCTTTATGAGCGGCCTCGGCCTTATCGTAGGTGATTGCCGCCGTTCTGCTGTCGGCCGAAATGCGCGTGAAAGCGCCGAAGAGGGAGAAGGGGGCCTGCAAGCCAAACGGGCCCATGCTCCTGTCGCACGGTCTGTGGATTGTGCTGCGGTGGCCCCTCCCCCCCGAAGAAGCGCCGCTTGCCGCCGATGCTGCCAGGGCAGCAGCCGCGGGTGGTGGCGACGGGGGCGCTGGGGGTGGGCCGCAGGCGTCTGTTGGGCTCCGAGCTTCCTCCAGTGGCTCGGTCGCCGCGCGGCGCGCCAGGCCTTTGGCAACAGCGGCTTCCGCGGCAGCCTCCACGCGCGCCTTGACAAGGTAGGCAGCGCCAGGGCAGTCCGACGAGGCGCTGGCCGTCGGCTTCGAGGCGGCATCCAGCCTCGTGGAGATGCGGAGCGGCACGTCGGGGACGAGCTCCGGCGCTTGTCTCCGCAGCGGCGGCGTCGGGCGCAGAGGCGGTGCGCCCCGCGCTGCGGGACCTGTCAGTGGCGGCGAGGTTGGGCTGGACACGAGGCCAGGTGCTGCGGCACCTGACAGCGGTGCCGAGGTGGGCCCCGGCCGCGCCCTCGCGTCCTCCCCTGCGGCATTTGGCAGCGGCACCGTTCTTGGCCGAGGCTTCCAGCGGTAGCAGTCCTGAGGATCGCGCCGTCTAGCATGTCGGTCGGAGGTTGATAGACCTCCTACCCTGACACGTCGATTAGTGAATTGGCCGTTTTCGGTTCGCGAGAGGGCGTTGCGGCCGTCCTTTTTGCGGGTCCAGGTCCGTCGGTTTCGGTCTTAGGCCGTTTTCACTAAGGGGAGGTTTACTAAAGGGAGGTTTGTCCACCGCCGAGTCGGTCCTGGTCTCGATGTTGTCGGGTGGCCTCGCTGAAGAGAATGTTGATGTCTCGCAGTCTAGGGCGCTTCCGTGTGCGGGCTGCATAGCCCAGGCGGTTCACGACTTCGATCATATTCGGAGCCTCAGAGTGTGGAGGCCTAGGCACCTGGGTGGGGGCCGTTTAAATTTCGTGCGTGGTGGCGTTGTCGGCGACAGGGAACTTCTTGAGGTAGCCTTTCCTCCCTGGCGGACAACAAAGAGATGAGAGAACAAGGATGTGAATGGAAAGTGTAAGAGTATGGTGCGGGCCAAAAGAGGACGTGGCAGGAAATTCGGCAAGTGGTGGCGTCGCTGGGCGCCGCCACGGGCCGACCTGTTCGGCGAAATGGGGGGATCCCGGGCCGAGGCGCCTCCTCCTCCTCCCTCCTCCTCCTCCTCCTCCTCCTCCTCCTCCTTCTCCTCCTGCTCCTCCTCCCCCTCCTCCTCCTCCTTCTCCTCCTCCTCCTCCTCCTGCTCCTCCTCCTCCTCCTCCTCCTCCTCCTCCTCCTCCTCCTCCTCCTCCTCCTCCTCCTCCTCCCCTCCCCCTCCTCCCCCTCCTCTGGGGTGGGCCCCATGAGGGCTCAGACCAGACCCCCTTAGCGTACCGTTGCTTGGGGCTGCCTTCCAAGGAAGTGCGGCGGCCTCGCTCCCGCGGCTGACTTGTAGAAGATGGTTGCGTCGCCCTCGTCCTCTTCCTGACGCTGCTGCTGTTCCTGCTGTCGCCGTCGCTGTCGCTGTCGGCCCTTCGCCTCGACACCACGTCGTTGCCACTGCGGCCTCCGACTCTGGCCATCTCCAGAGTGACCCGCCGTCGGGTTGCGGATCCCGTCGCACAGGCGTTTCGCATGGTTGCGCGGCATTGCCAACGCGGCAGCTCCCTTCCCTGCGTTGGCCTTCGCATTCGATTTGTTTTCACAGCGTCTGGCAGCGCGCGGGCCATGTACGCTGCCGCTTCACTTGAAAGTAAGTCTGCGAGAGTGGTTGTCTTGTTTGAAGAGTCGCGCGCACGTCACTGCCCCGCCGGATGCCAGCGAGCTTGCGCGCGTGGGATTCTGCCCGCGGTTCCGCCGCGCGCGCCCCTGCTCTAGCATGAATTCGGAGATGTCCCTCTACAGGAGGACTGTGTAAGAATAGTAAAAAATTATATGGGGACGATTTCCAGTTTTTGTTGGGCGGGGGGGTATTTTTGGAGTATGTTCGGAGAATGTTTCAATTTCCGCCCCAAATCCGCCTGTAGGAGGACATGCCCGACCTAACTCTAGCACCAGCGTTGATCCTCCCCCGTTCTTCACGTTTCTTGTATGTTTGGGCACAGCCGCCGCCTCCACCCTTGCCACTGCATGTCGACGAACCATATGCTGCATGAGCATCATTTCTCGGAGGTCCGCGCGGTTTTTTGGGATTTGTGTTGGACACCCCTGGTGGCGACGGCACTGGCGCGCTCCGCACGCCAGGGAGGGGGTTTCAGCGCCGATCCAAGAACTTTGCGCGGACCTCCAAAAGAGTGTGTTTATGCAATGCTATGTTCCTACATTATGAGTGTCCCCGTGCTGTCCGCCGAACTTTCTTCACGCGCTCCACGTTTTCGCGCCCACCTCTGCTGGCGTGCGGGTAACCGTCCGCATGTGCTCCATTCCCGAACGATCAGCAGAGTAAGGCGGGAGTGTCGCTTTCTCAGCGTTTGCACCAGCGCGGCAGTTTCAGTTGTTTTCGGGATTGTATGCGTCCGTCGTTTGAGGTTCCAAGGTCAAATTGTGTTCGTTGATTGCGTCGTGTTCATTCGTGCACGTGTGATCGGACGCGTGCGCCTGCTGTGCCCCGATCCCTTCCAGTTTGGCACGTTGTCCGTCTTGGCCCGCGTCAGACTGCAATGGCCCAGACACGCGCTTGCGTTGCATGCTCGCTCTGGCATCGCGTGAGGAACGCCTGTTCTGTCTGTTACGTATGCGCATGTTGGTGTCGTTTTTGTTGCCATGCACCATGCTGTTGCCATGCAATAAGACTAACCGTTCCACCTTGGTGAGGTGCTTGGCCTGCGATAACGATGGGTGCAGTCTGTGCGGGAAGGCAGCTTTTTGAATTTGCTCATGCCCGTGAGGAGCAGTGGGGAAACGGAGAGGGTAGGAGCTAGGAGGAGATGGAAGGTGGAGGAAGAGGAGAAAGTGTGGTGAAGAGCAGGAGGACGTGGAAGAAGCCGATGAGGATACTCCGCTGGACGTGAGAGGATAGGACGATTACGAGAAAGAACAGGAAGAGGAGGAGCACGACGAGGCATATACATTGGTTAGCTGGAAGCCAAAAACATTGGGGAGGGGGCCATGCAATGATTTGGTGCGAAGGGGAGAGAGAGAGAGAGAGAGAGATGCAACAGCACAGCACATATCGAAGGGCCTCCAGCCACGGCCGCTGCCCCACTTCCGTGTGATGTGCAGCCTTCCAGGTCAGGCACGGGAAGACATGAGGCCTTCGGCCACTGCCGCAGCCCCCTTGCCATGGGCATCGAGGGACCCCTCGTCGCCATCGTCGTCGTGGTCCTCCTGCTCGTTCGGCTCCTCCGCCGTCTCCTGGGAGCCGTCGGGGCCACTTCCGGGCGTCCAGATGGGCCTCTCCCCTGCAGTGAGCCCGCTTTGATCTCTCGGGGCGTCCTGTGATCTTGGGCCATCGCAGGGCAATGTCTGGGCCTTCGTGCCGCCCTTCTGGAGCCTGCCCCAGAGCTTCTCGGAGCCTTTTCAGAGTGCCGTTTCGGTAACCTCACGGTGTTCTTGGCCCTCTTGCGGGCCCGTTAGTCATTCAGATGACATCCGGTATAGTTGCGGACAATTCTGCATTAGATGTTGGTCCTGGAAGAGTGGGTCAACCGTAATTGTCTCATCGGTGTCTCTTCCTCCTCCAGTTGTTCCTCTTCCTCGTTGCAACAGGCTTGTTGCGTCTGTCACCTTGGGTCGCGTACTTGCCATGCACCCTGACGATATCTTGTGGATTCCAGCGTTGGGTTGGCATCTTTCTGGACGCCTGTCGGGTTGCCCTGGACGGTGCCGCAGCGGTCGAGGAGGCCCTCCTAGGGCCCCCCAGAGGGCCCCACCTGTCATGCGGCGGCGAACGCAAATGGGGAGTGGTACCCTCATGAGGGACGAGCGGTCGGTGTCCCACCTTTTTCGCCTCCTCCTACATCTCTTCCATCCCGTCAGAGCCACCTCGCAAGATCTGAATTACGATGCGGTATAGCCACACACAGTCGTGGCCGGGGCAGGCAGGCTGAGGTCTGGAGGCAGGCCACGAGGGTCACGCTGGGGTGGAGAGCGCACGCCCAAGCGTACTGGTATTCCTCCGCCTCGCGGTCCCCATTCTCCCTTCCGTCCGTCCTCCTGTGCCATCTTGGCCCACGGGCCGCCGTGCCAGCCTCCCAGGTCCGGGAGATCCAGGAGGTGTACTCCGTGGACGACTGGGAGGCCCACGAGGGCAAGAGGCCCCACGAGGGCACGAAGGCACCGTCTGGAGGGACGGTGGCAGGCGGATTCACGAGGCTAGGAGTAAGTCGGGCCTGTCCCCCTACAGGAGGAATATTCCAACATAGTAAGAAAATGGTCGGGGGACGATTGTTTGACTATCTTTAGACCTTTGTGGAGTATTTTGAATTTGTCGCCCAAAATCCGCCTGTAGGAGGACATGCCCGACCTAAGGCTAGGAGAGGGTGGAGGGAGGGACCGCATAAGTATGCCATCAGATGGTCGAAGCGGTGCCAGGCATCGAACTGGGTGGCATCAGGCCGACGAGCGTAGGTGATTCAATCGTTTAGCCAGGCGAGCAAGGATCACACGCGTGTACATATATATATATGTATACATGTACGCACTCAACCATATACATGTACTGCATCTACAAGTATACACGCATATGCAAGCATGCAACCATACAGACCTACCAACAGTGAGAGATAGAGAGCTGGACGGGTGGACGGCAAAATGACGGGGGCGACAGATACGGCCAGCGACGAGAAAGAGCAAGCGGAGCGTGAGCGTGCCTCACGTTGCTCTTTTGGGAGCCAGCAAGTAAGCAGCAGGCAAGCTCATTGCCAGTGGTTGGGAGAAGCAAGGGGAGTATCGAAGACGCCTACGGCGAATCACCGCCGCCCCCTGCCTTTTTGGAAGCGCCTATGTGGCCGAACGGTGAGGCCAGACCTGGCAAGCTATCGGACCATGTGTTCCCCGAATCGGTTTGGAAAGCCTTCGGGGAACACGTGGGCATCTTGAAGGTCATTTTGGCCGTGTGGAGGCCATTTTGACCCTTTCGGGCCTTCTTGGAGGACGTCTTGGAGGGCTCTTGGGCCGTCTTGGAGGCCATCTTGAGCGTCTTGGAGGCTTCTTGGGCCTCTTGGGGGCCTCTTGGGCCGTCTTGGGCCTCTTGGGCGATCTTTGGGGGCACTTGGGCCGCCTCGGGCCGTCGGAAGGCAGAAAAAAAGCAAATGGCACAATCCTTCAAACACTCATGGGAGATCAATGGTTGGGGCCTTTTCTGTCCTTCCTGGAGGCCCTCTTGGAAGCCTCTTGGGCCGTCTTGGGCCATCTTAGGGCCATCTTCGGCCGTTTTGGTGGGCTCCTGGCCCGTCCGACGCCGTCGGAAGCTCTTGGAATGCTCTAGGGCCGTCTTGGAGGCCATCTTGGGCGTCTTAAAAGCCTCCTGGGTCGTCTTGGGGGCCTCTTGGGGCCGTCTTGGGGGCCTCGGGCCGTTATGGTGCCATCTTGGAGGCCCCATGGGTGATCTTTGGGGGCTCTTGGGTCGTCTCGGGCCGTCGGAAGGCCGAAAAGAAGCAAATGTCAAAATCCTTCAACAACCTAAGCATAATCAATGTTTTCTGTTTTTTTCTGGCCTTCCTGGAGGCCCTCTTGGAGGCCTCTTGGGCCGTCTTGGGCCAGCTTCGAGCCAATTTCCGCCATCGTGGTGGGCTCCTGGCCCGTCTGACACCGTCGGAAGCCGTTTGGGGGGCCTCTTTGGGCCAACTTGGGGCCCTCTTGGGGTGCTCCAGGGCCGTCTTAGAGGCCATCTTGGGCGTCTGGGAGGCCTCTTGGGTCGTCTTTGTGCCCTCTTGGGGCCGTCTCGGGGGCCTCTTGGGCAGTCCTGAGGCCATCTTGGAGGCCTCTTGAGCGCTGTGGGGGCGCTCTTGGGGGTGGGTCGTCGAGAAGCCGAAAAGGAGCAACTACGAAACAATTTTAAAAGCCTAGGGAGAATTAATGATTTTGGCCTCTTCGGGCCCTCCTGGAGGACCTCTTGGAGGCCTCTTGGGCCGTCTTGGAGGCCTCTTGGGCACCTCTTGGGCCGTCTTTGGCCGTCTTGGAGGTTTCTTGGGCGGACTTGGAGGCATCTCCTCCTCTCTTGGGCGGACTTGGAGGCCATCTTGGAGGCCATCTTGGGCCAACGTGGCCATCATGGAGGCCATCTTGAGCCGTCTTGAAGGAACAATTGCGCAATTGACTTCCTTTCCGGGTGGCCGGCGGGACGGGCCGAAGCCCCAGGGGGAGTTCTTGTAGAAAAAAACCAAAACCCAAACCGAGAGGGTCCAGCACGCCAGGCACCCCTGTGATGAATCAACAGGGGGCGGCGGATTCAATGGCCTTCGGCCCATCCCGCCACTGCGCCTGGGTTGTAGGTATGAAGCATATTGGATGTTCATTGGGATCTCGTGGGAGGCCTCTCGGGGGCTTCTTGGAGGCAGTTTGGAGGCCTCTAGGGGGCTGGTTGGGGCCCTTGGGCCCGGCCCAAGAGGCCCCAAAAGAGGCTCAAGAGCTACCCCCCTCAAAAAAAGACTATGGGGCTTCTTGGAGGCTTCTTCGGGCCTCTTGGGGACGCCCCTTGGGACGGAAGGCTCGGATTTCGGTTCGTGTTCCCTCTCTTGGGCCCCTTTTGGAGCCGTCTGGTGGCCCTCTTGGGACGCTGTTCAGCCGTCTGAGGGCCCTCTTGGAGGCCCCTGTGGTCGTTTTGGGGTGGTTTGGGAGGCTCTTGGGCTGTGCTGGAGTCGGAAAACCGAAGGGGCGAGAACGCCCAAATTCTTCAAGCAGCAACCAAAGAATCATTGATTTTTGCCTATTGGGGCCCCCTTCTTCGGAGGCCTGTTGGGGCGTCTCGGAGGTCTCTTGGGCCATCTGGACGCCATCTTGGGCGTCTTGGGGCCGGGGCCCTCTTGGATCGTCTTGGGGGCCTCGTGGGGCCCTCTTGGCCCATCCTGGGGGCCTCTTAGGCCCCGAAGAGTCATGCGAGAACACCTCCCGGAGCCCAGGGGGCACACGCCGGGAGCCCCGCCAGATTTTGGAATTTTGGGGTCCGGGCCCCCTCAAGACTCCTCGGGAGCGCTTAAGAGATTAGGCAAAGGACCTGAGGACAAGCCCGCTCCGTGCCCAGCGGCACGGTGGTGGATGTTGATATCGGAGGTTCGTGGACCTCCTACCTTGACACGTCGATTAGCGAAGTGGCCGTTTTCGGTTCGCGAGAGGGCGTCGCGGCCGTCATTTTCGCGGGTCCAAGGTCCGTCGGTTTCGGTCCTAGGCCGTTTTCACTAAAGGGTGGTTTACTAAAGGGAGGTGTGTCCACCGCCGATGATAGGGCTCAGGATGGCGAGGAGAATGATGAGAAGGGCCAGGAGGAGAAAGAGGGCGGGCGTCAGTTGGCGCCAACGTGGCGGCGCAGCGCCCATCTCGGCACACCTCTGCCGCGCTTCATGGCCTCGTCCAGTCAAGACGCTGAAATAAGGACCGCTTTGAGCTCGGGAGGGGGCTCGGGTTTTCGGCCAGTCTTAAGTCGGGCCTGTCCCTCTACACGGGGAATATTCAAAAATAGTCAAAAAATAGTCTGGGGACTATGTTTTGAATATGTTTGGGCATCTTTCTGAGTATGTTTGAAGATTTTTTATTTTTCGTCCAACATCCTCCTGTAGGGGGACAGGCCCGACCTCAGGCCGGTCCTAAGATCTCATGTCGTGGAACCTATTTGTGGCCGCCGTTCGCCGACGGGACAGGCCCTTTCGTTGCTTCTTCGGCGTTCCTGCTGGCAGCACGCTGGCCGCACTCTGTCGGTGAGCGCCAACTGTATGGCGGCGCCGCGCCCACCTCGGCGCCGAGCCCATCTCTGTGCACTTCTCGCTGGGATCGTGCATCGTAGGGATCTCAGCTCGCAGCTGTGCGCCTGGTCCTCCACCCCCCATCCAATCTGCCCCGTTCCCCATCCCTTGGGCGGCGTGCCACCTGTGAGGAGAGGACCGTATCCTCCGTCACTTCCCCGATACCGGCCGGCCTTCGTGGCGGGTCGATGTTTCACATCCCGATGTCGTCGTTCACCGCCGAGGCAAGCGCAATCGCAGAGGCTTCAAACTTCCTGCGCGGACTTGTGCTCGCACCTTGCGCAGCTGTGCAGCTCACTGGCTCCATTCCCCAATCCGTACTTGCACTGAAGGGGTTCTAGCGGAAATTCAAAGATTTGGCAAAAGTGTCCCGCCGATTTTGGTGGCCGGCTGGATTCCCGGGTTCCCGGTTCTGGGTTCCCAGGTTCTTGGTCATTGGTTCCGATCCGATTTCGGTGGGTTCCGGGTTCCCGGGTTCCCGGACGATTTCTTTATTGATCTTTTTATCGATCCCATTTCAAACCATCCACTCATTAGGGCCGGGGTTGTCTCTGGTGTAATTTCGTTCTGCAGACATCCGTCATTGACTGCACTTGCCCTGGCATGCAGTTTGCGGCTAGCACGGCAGTGCTCTGCGCCTCGGGCAGGAGAGAAGAACATATCCTGCGTCCCTCGCAGCTGCATGCGGTCGGGTCGTCCGCCAAGCTTGTTTTTTATTCCGACCAGCGGGCTGACGAACAGTTGTACAGTTGTGCGCACGTGTGGACGTGAGCGGGCCTAGACATCCGACTATGTGTTTTTTCGAACGCGCGGCCCCAGGATTTTCGCCTGGATCCATTTTTGATATTCCAGGGGTCACAGAAAGGGCCCCAGAGGCCAAACTCGATGAAAAACGCCAGGATAGAAACACTCAGATCGTCGGAGATTTGGGGGTGTGGTGCACACCGGCCAGAAGGTTCGCTCGGTTTTGACACGCGCGTGCGCGCATGATGTGCGCGTGTGTGTGTGCGTGTGTGCGTCTCTCGCTGCATTTCACGGCTGTGGCCAGAGCGCTCGGCACGCGTTCGGGCGTGATGTCGCCCGCTTTTTCCCGTTTACTTGCGACTGGCTGTTGATTGCATGGTCAGAGGAAGGCCAGTAGAGACAACGGTAGTTGGCTTTCTGGGGGGGCCCTCGTCGCCATGCCTGGACGCAGTCGGAAAATTAGCGCGTTTGTGCCCCGAGAGGGGTCCATGGAATAATGTTCAGTGTCTCAATTCGCCGCGCTCCTGTGAGTTTGTTTGGTGTGTATGTTGTGTGTGTCGTGTGTTGGGTGTTGTGTGTTGTGTGTCGTGTTGTGTCGTGTCATGCCGTGCCGTGCCGTGCCGTGCCGTGCCGCGTCGCTCGTGCGTGTGTGTGTGTGTGTGTGTGTGTGTGTGTGTCTGCGTGTGTGTCTGCGCGTGTGTCTGCGCGCGTGTGTGTATGTGTGTGTGGGTGTGTTTGTGTGATTCGTGGGTATGAGTGTGTGTCGTGTGCGTGTGTGTGTGTGTGTGTGTCTGCGTGTGTGTCTGCGTGTGTGTCTGTGTGTGTGAGTGTGTGAGTGTCCGCGTGTATCTGCGTGTGTGTCTGCGCGCGTGTGTGTGTGTGTTTCGTGTGTGTATGTGTGTTTCGTGTTGTGTGTGTGTGTGTCTGCGTGTGTGTGTGTGTGTGTGTGTCTGCGTGTGTGTGTGTGTGTGCGCGTGTGTGCGTCGTGCGCGTGTGTCTGCGCGTGTGTGTGTGTTTCGTGGTGTGTGTGTGTGTGCCTGCGTGTGTGTGTGTGTTTGTGTCTGTGTGTGCGCGTGTGTGTCTGCGTGTGTGTGTGTGTGACTGCGTGTGTGTGTGTGTGCGTGTGTGTCTGCGCGTGTGTGTGTGTGTGTGTGTGTGACTGCGCCTGTGTGTGTGTGTGTGACTGTGTGTGTGTGTGTCATGTGTGTGTGTTTCGTGTGTGTGTGTCTGCGTGGGGGTGTTTTTGCGTGTGTGTCTGCGTGTGTGTATGCGCGTGTGCCGGCGTGTGTATGTGTGTGGGTGTGTTTGTGTGTTTCGTGGGTGTGAGTGTGTGTGTGTGTTTCGTGTGTGTGTGTTTGTGTGTGTCTGCGTGTGTCTGTGTGTGTGTGTCTGCGCGTGTGTGTGTGTGTGTGTGTGCGTGCGTGTCTGCATGTGTGTGCGTGTGTGTGTGCGTGCGTGTCTGCGTGTGTGCGTGTGTGTGTGTGTGTCGTGGGTGTGTCTGTGTGTGTTTCGTGGGTGTGTGTGTGTGTCTGCGTGTGTGTCTGAGTGCGTGCGCGTGTGTGTGTGTGTGTTTGCGTGTGTGTTTGCGTGTGTGTGTCTGCGTGTGTGTCTGCGCGTGTTTGTGTGTTTCGTGGGTGTGCTCAGTGTGCGTGTGAGTGCGAGCCGCGCGCGCGCTCTCCGGTCGGGACTTTCTCCGCCTCGTCGCTGCACGCGAGGCCGCGACCGCCAAACAAGTATGTGTGTGTTGTGTTTTGTGTATTGTGTGTTGTGCGTTGTGTGTGGTGTGTATCGTGCATGTGCTGTGTGGTGTGTGTGTGGGTGTGTTTGTGTGTGCGTTCCTTTGTGTCTCTATGTCTTTGTGTCTGCGCACGTGGTAGAATGTTGATGGCCCCCCTTGTCCGCTGGCGCAGGCGCTTCCCAGAGGGAAGCGGATACCGGCGGCCGTGCTTGAGGAGACCCGGCACGTATGTCAAAGGGGGCGGGGCGGCGTGGAATTTGCGTGGGAATTTGGATATTTTGGTTGCGTGGGAATTTGGATATTTTGGTTGCCCGAAAAAGAGTTAGTCGTGGATCCCCAAATTCCAATCTTCTGTGGGCGCTTCCTACCTCAATAGCCAAATTGCCAAATTATTGTTCCGTCCCCTTCCTTTTCCGGAGGGCGAGCGGGACCCATCCTACGTTCAATGACTTCCTGCCTAGGGGAAGCACCAGAATGGACGAATGTGCGCGGAGTAGCCACGGGCCCCTATTCATAATACAAATTCGGCGCGCTCGGTTGCCGATTTAGGCGGCACTGCTCCCGTGTCTCGGGGCGCATTGTCCCGATCCGTGGATCTGGCGCCCACGTGCCAGATCCACGGAAACGTAATCCATGTCAGCATGTGTCCGACTAAGTCACACTTCTGTTCGTAGACAGCAGTAGTGTGTTGACGATCTGTTCGTGCTCTTATGACCATGCAACGAGTAGGTATTCGTTTTTGACTACTGTTCATTGGCCTTCCAAAATCAGCCTGTGGGAGGACGTGCCCGACCTAATTCTACCCACTCCTTCCGAACGACGGGCGGGCTCGCGCGCCAGTCTTCCAGGCGTCTGGCCCAGTGGCCGGCAGGTGCGGCCCGGACCACCTGCGCTGCGGGGCAGATCGTGTTTCCGCCGCGCGCTCCGCTGTGAGCCGCTGCTGCCCAGAGGTCCCCTTCTTCCATCCGCCGGGGGCGCCGTTGGGTCGGAGGAGGACACGGTGCCCATGCCGCTACCCTTCCCTTCGCTCGTTTTCCCTCTTCTTGGGCCTCCTGGGTGGCCCTGGTCGCCACGGCTGGAGTCGCCAAGAAATCCTGGTCAGAACGCACCCCGGGACAGATCCATGGAGTAGCGGTCTCGGTGTTTGTTGCTTTCCCCACTGTTGGGAACAGCATTCGGTACGATCGAAAGGAGTACGGAACGAATAGGTGCGAAGGCCGACAGCAGTTCCTGTTCTTTTGAACAGGACTGGTTGTCTCAAGTCTTGAAGCACAGACGACCTCTTGTCTCAAGTGGAGCTCCTGCTCCATTTGAGACAAGAGGTCGTCTTCCCAACAGCGGCCGCTGTCGGCTTTGGACAACTCTCGCTGTTGGGCGTCGTGCCTTTTCCGTACGCGTGTTGGGTATACAATTTAATATGTTCCGCAGTCGTTGTTTTCTGATTCCAGGGTCAGGCTTTGGTGCCGCCCAAAGTGAGGCATGGACCGAGGGCGATGACCACGTGGAAAGCAGTCGCCAGGTAAGGTTTTGTTTGGGATGGGAGCGCTTGTGGCATTGAACAGGGAGAAGAGAGCAGGGGACCCGGGATGGGGAGCCGGCAGGGGAGGGGGCCCTGGGGTTTGACACGTGGGAGGGTTTTCTCGGGCCGGACGAAAGGGGGGGATTGGGAAAGGGGGGGTTACGAAATCTGCTGCATGCAGCTGGTTTCGGCCCCACCGAGGGGCCCATTCCTCGATACATGGCCGCCTCGGGCGCCAGGAGGTGCCTGGAAAATCAGCCTCGTGAGCTGATTCTCAATCCCCCTCTTTGCTATCCCCCCCTTTCGCCCAGCCCGATTTTCGGTGAAGAAGAAGTGGCGGAATCATGCAGAGTGAGACCCGCGTGGGTTTCTGGGATCGGCGATGGACGCACTTTCTTGGCGCGCGGAGCGCGCCAGGGGCAGTGCCAGAGACGCCACCAGGGGACTCTAGCGCCGATTCAGGATATCCACGCGGGCCTCCGATGTTTATTCTCATTTGGTTGTTTGTTCTCCTAGGGCTGCCGCTCCCCGCCACCCTTGCCACCGTGGTTCGCCACGGCCGCCCACCGCGCCCTGGCCCTGCGCGCCTGGCTGCTGCTGCCCCCCCGGCTGCTCATCGTCGAACTCTTCGACGTCTGAGCGTCCCTTCTTCCTATCGGCCGTCCCCCCCCTCTTTGCCCGCCGCTCTTTGCCCGCCGGCCAATTCGCCATTTAGTGCCCCTTTTTAGCTTCTCGCTGGGGCGGAGTTCGCCGCCTCGCCGCCGACGAAACATTGCTTGTTTTCCTAAGTTCGCATGCCGCTCAGAGTAGGGGAGTGGGCCTCATGCTCCGAGCCGCCCGTGCCCCGCCGCCGCGATGTGGCCTCCTGTCCGAGGCCCCGCTGGGGGGGTGGACCGGCCGCAGCGGCAGAGGCCACCACGGCAAGGCATCGCACCGATGGGCCGCCCTGGCCCCTCGTGGGGATCGAGGCGGGATCGAGGAGGCATCGAAAAGCATCAGGGATCGAGGGAGGATCGAGGATCGAGGTGGGACCGAGCCGATCGAGGGAGGACCGAGGGAGGATCGAGGTGGGATCGAGGGAGGATCGAGGATCGAGGTGGGACCGAGCCGGTCGAGGATCGAGGATCGAGGTGGGATCGAGGGAGGATCGAGCATCGATGACATGGCGATCCCCGGTCCGAGGCCCCGCCCCCTCGGGGGGGGGGGGAGCGCCGCGCCCCCCCAGGAGCTGACCCGGGAGGCGCCCGCAGACCCCCGCAGCCAGGAGCGGCGCGGCCCCGCCTCGCGTCGTCGCCGCCGGCGTCGCCGGCGTCGTCGTCGTCGTTGCCAACGTCGTCGTCGTCGTCGCCGTCGTCGATGTCGTCGCCGTCGCCGCTGTGGCCGTCGTCGTCGTCCTCGTCGCCCCAGAAGCTCCAAAGTTGAGTGAAACGCTAGGGGCACTTTGGGCCTAGGGTTAAGCCGGGCCTGCTCCTCTTCAGGAGGAACACTTAAAAATATACTATATTTGTTTAGTCTGGGGACGATTCTTGGATTGTTTCTGAGCATTTTTGGAACATCTTGGGGGGTATCTTCAATTTGTCCTTCAAATTTCCCAAGTACGGGGGACGGGCCTGACCTAAGCCTAGCGGCGCACCTTTGGCAGCTCTCTCTCGAGAGGGGGGGGGGGGGGGGGCAAAGCGCGGAGATCGGTGCACCGCGAAGCCCTTCGAGCCTCGCGGTGCGCACACCTCGCCCGCCAGCATTTCGCACGGGTCGCACCAGCCTTCGAGTACGGCAGCGGAGGGGCTCGGCTGGTTCAGTGGGGGCGCTGACGAAGGAACCCTTCTCGTTGGGGAGGGGCTCCGTGTTCCTTAATCGTTTCGCAGTTTGCCGTAGGTTTTCCCTAGGGTTTTCGATGGGAAGCCGAAGTTTTTCAACTTATAGAAAAAGGGGGCCTCGTTTGTTATTTTGGAGTCCTTAGGTCAACGTCCCAACTGTATCCACGCAGTGCATTGCTGCAGATGCTTGGTGTGTGGAGTTTTTTCCCCACATCCAAAGTGGGGTTCTTATTTTCTCTGGACACCCCGCGCAGGAACAGGAACCCACCATCATCATCACCACTCATTCCTCACTCACTCACTCACTCACTCATCATCCCTCACACACTCACTCACTCACTCACTCACTCACTCACTCACTCACTCACTCACTCACTCACTGACTCACTGACTCATCAGCACTCACATATGATGATGAGCGTGCGCGTGAGAGAGTGTGATGATGATGATGATGATGATCATCATCATCATCATCATCATCATCATCACCAGTCAGCCAGTCAGCCAGTCAGTCACTCACTCGCCTTGGGCCTCGTGTGTGAGTGAATTGCGAGGTAGTCTCAAGCGGGAGCCCCCTCCCTATGGGGCCCGCGGATCATGTTATTAATCCGAGCGGGTCATCAAATTCATGTAACTGTCGCCACTTTTGGGCTCTCGCGCTGCCAGAACTCCATTCCCAGGCCACATTTGTGAGTGAATTGCGAGGAAGTCTCAAGCGGGAGCCCCCTCCCCATGGCGCCCGCGGATCATGTTACTAATCCGAGCGGGTCATCCAATTCCTGTAAGTATCGCCACTTTTGGGCTCTCGCGCTGCCAGAACGCCATTCCCAGGCCACATGTGTGAGTGAATTGCGAGGAAGTCTCAAGCGGGAGCCCCCTCCCTATGGGCGGATCATGTTACTAATCCGAGCGGGTCATCAAATTCCTCTATCTGTCGCCACTTTTGGGCTCTCGCGCTGCCAGAACGCCATTCCCAGGCTACATTTTGAATGCCCGGAGCCAACTGTAGGCCACTTCGTGTTCTTCGTGCTCCCGAAACACCGCTCCCTGGCTACATGTTGAATGCCCGGAGCCAACTGTAGGCCACTTCGTGTTCTTCGTGTTCCCAGAAAACCACTCCCGGGCCACTTTCTGAATGTCCGGAGCCAAAACAGGAGGGCGAGGTCGGGGGCAACGTAGGGAGCGGGGGGAGGGCCCGCGCCAGGGCGAGAAGAAATACACGCAGAAGAGACAGCCAGGACGCCTCACCAACCACGAGAACGACGGTGAGGGCTTTGTCCTCGCCCAGAGGATTCTCATGCGGGGTCCTTCCGTCGGAGTAATTCTTGTTTGTTGTTTCAGGAAAAATGCTTAATATTACAGTTATGGCAATACTGTGTATATATAATATTGTCGTAAAACTTATATAAAGAACGAAAAACGGCATAGACATAAACTGTAGGCGCTCCGCGCGGATTTCTTGGATCCGCGCTGGGCTCCCCTGGTGGTGCCTACGGCGCCGCCCCTGGCGCGCGGAGCGCGCCAGGGAGGGGGGTCCAGCGCAGATCCAAGAAATGCGCGCGGAGCGCCGAAAGTTTATGTTTATGGCGCTGTTTCTTCCTCTATGAATGTTTACAAACGTGGCGATGGTGGGCACCTTGGGGAAATATAAGGACGGGTGGCTGTTTCTCCATTCCAAAATGGAGCCGGTGTAGATGTGGACGGACGATCGCGCCGCATCGCCTGTGCTTCGGCGGTGCAGTTCGGTGCGGAGCCCGACTGTCTACACGCCAACATCGCCAACGCATCGCTGACGTCGCCGACGTATCGCTGGTGCATCGGCGATGCATCGACGATGCGACGCGATCCTCCGACACGATCTGCTCCGACACAATCTCGGGCCCCCCAAACCTCAATGGAAGAAAAGCTGCCGTAGGCTGCTAAGCCGGTGAGGAGTTCACATGCGTGCAGCCTGCCGGGAGGCGATGTGAGAGCCACGCAGCGCGTGGATGAATCATTCGACGCCCTGCTTCGCAAGCGCGTGTGTTTGAACGCTGGTTTCTGTCCCGGTGGGTGCTTGCACGCGTTTCAGCAATTAGTCATTCGCCGCCAGTGGGTTTAGCATTCTTCCCACAGCGGCGAGTCTGCTGGGAGCCTGAATCATCTCCGCGTGCCCTTGTCCGTGCGCATTTTTACACATGACAGTTTCCAAGTTGCAGCGCAATGTGCTGAGTTGTTGTGACCCTTTGTGCCGCCAGTGTTTGAACACATGTGCTTCACTGTAAGCCGCTGGATGCCTGTGGCACGCACTGGGCACAGCCCGCCCTGGGCGCCTCCCTGGCGGCGCGGCGGCGAGGGTGACCATCAGCAAAAGTTCGCGCCCGCCACCCGACCACCTGTCAGCAAGTGGTCCGTTTCAGCTGGGCGCATGCGGATGAGCTCAATGGCGTGCGCGCAAACGCCCGTTGGAGCAGCTTCTTCACCTTGTCCTGGTCCGTGGCAGTCATGCGCGGGGCACCTACTGCATCCCCGGGGTCTTCCGTTTTTGGTTTCTACTGTTAAGTCGGGCGCGTCCCTTTACAGGAGGAGTATTCAAAAATAGTCTGGGGACGATTTTGGGACTATTTGTGACATGTTTGGAGCACTGTTTGACTATCTTTAATATTTCGTCGAAGATCTACCTGTAGGAGGACATGCCCGACCTCATTCTATCAGGAAGGCAGGTAGATCTTGGCGCGGGGGACGGATCTCGCGCGGTCTTTTGTAGCTTGCTGGCGGTATTTACACAGGCGCACCCAGCGTTAAGTCGGGCTTGTCTCTCTACAGGAGGAATATTCAAAAATAGTTTTTTTAAAAATAGTCTGGGGACGATTTTTATTTTTTGCTATTTCGGAGTATGTTCTGATTCATGTTTACTTGTTATCCAACATCCCCCTGTAGGGGGACATGCCCGACCTAGACCCAGCATTGCAGTTGTGGAGTGCGTGTCCGTTGGCATCATGCGCTTCCAGAACCTCGCAGCAAGTGCTTGAATTGTCACTTTGACCTTCGATGCTTGGCATGGCTCACCGTGGTTGCGGGCAGGTGGTGAGTGTACGCACCCGCCAGCCGTTGTTTGGTAAATGTGTGCAGCAGCGGTTTGCACAATGTCGTGGCCATTGGGGCAGCGAGTAGCGGGCAGTGTCATTCTCAACCTCGAGCTTCTCATGCTGCAAAAAGTTGCGGATTCAGAGTGCGGGGTAGTTGTTTGTGGTGCTTGTCTTTTGTTTGAATTATCTACGCGGGTATGGTTTGGTAGCGCCAGCCTGAAATGGGCCGCTAGTTTGAGGGCGGCGCGGTTGTGGTTCGAGGTAGCGAAGCAAGCGTTGCTTGACAGCTCGAGGCTACATGCCAGTCCAGGAAAGCGGATCATGAAGTGTTTAGATTTTCGGCTCCTTGCAGCAAGCCTCTCCACCGTGCCAGTGCCACAGCTCTGACCAGGTGCAAGAAGGTCAGCATCCGAAGGTTCGAGTGCTTGCTTTCTTCTGCGCTCTCGTGATCGGCCCCTGTAGTCGGCCCGCTCTGTTTCCAAAGCAACACGCATCGCTCAACTCGCGCTCAACCTGATATGTGTTCGACGCGTCGAAGCCGTCGCGCCAATGTTGGGCCGTTTTCGAGCATGCGATTTTGCGGGGCGCGGCTCGTTCGCGCGAGATGCGGCGAAGGTGTGGGCGGCAAACGCACTCGAGGAGGAGGAGGAGGAGGAGGAGGAGGAGGAGGGCGGCAAACGCACTCGAGGAAACAATATCGCGCGCGCAGCGTCGGAGCAAACCCGACTGAGCCATGCCGGCATTGGCAGCGATGTTATGGAAACCGGGGCGGCGCCACACGACGCCCGCTTATTCCCTTGAAGTATCTGATGTTCTTCACGATTATCCTCCGCACCTTCTTTTTGCTGCCTCGTTCATTCAATGGTAGCCCTCCGCCATTCATCCACCCTCCTTCCTTATCCTTGTGTCCCTTCTGTGCCCCCCTTTTTTTTGCGCTCTGGTCGTCCCATCCCCGCCCTCCTCCCACCCTTACTCTTTTTACCTCCCTCTTCAAATTCTAGAAGCTTCGCGCATCCCCACCAGCCCATCCAGAAACTATTTCCAGGCGAGTTGAGGTGATCAGGGAAGTGCGGGAGCAAAGAGGGAGACGGCCGAACCGTGCGAAGGAGGGAGGAGGCGAAGGAGGAGGCTGGACGGATGGATGAGGGAGTGGGGAGAAAGAATATTAAGAAGAGGAGGAGGAGGAGGAAGAGAAGGAGTAGGAGGAGGAAGGAGGAGCAGGAGGAGGAGGGCAAGCAAAAAGGGCCAGAGGTCTCTTGGATGCCTCTCGGAGCCTCTTGGGATATCTCTTGGGCGCTTCTTGGAGGCCTCTTGGGACGTCTTGTGGATCTCGGCGGTCCTGGGGGGCTCTTGGGCGTCTTGGGTGCCTCGGGGGGGGGGGTCTTGGGGCCGCTTGGGGTCCTCTTGGGGGCCTCTTGGGGGCCTCCTGGGGCCAGCTGCCCCATCGGAAGCCCCCAAAGTCGCCTGGTGGGGCGCTCCTGGATCGCTCTTGGGTCCGTCCTGTGGCTCTCTTGGGCTCCTCTTGGAGCCATCTTGAGGCCCCAGATGACCTTCAGAAGCGAAAAGGCGAGAAGGCAGAAATCATTAGTTGTCTTTCGGTTCGGCAAGGATTTTAGCATCTGGGAGGCCTCCTTGGGAGTCTCGGAGGACTCTCGGAGCCGTCTTGGAACCTTCTTGGATCTTCTTGGAGCATCTGGGAAGCCATCTTGAGGCATGTCGGGCTCATCTTGGACCATCTTGGAGGTCATCTTGGGCTCTCAGAAACCATCTTGGGGCCGTCCTGGGCCATCTTGGACGCTCTGACCGCTCGCGACCGCCCCCGTCCAGGTCCAGGCGAGGGGCAAATCCCTCCCCGAAGGCGAAGAAGGGGGTCGGAAGAGGAAGCTCTCTAGACCACCTACGCCCAGAGGGCGGGTGGGATTTACCGCCCCCTTCCGCCCCTTCCATCACATCGTCCTCCCGTTTCTCGGAGGCGACGACAGGGGCGACTAGCCCCGGGGGGGGGGGGGGGGGGGCAATACATGTATCCAGGGATGCCGATGACCTATGTCTTCGACGAGGCTCCCGAGCGGATGCGTGTAATGCTTGCCCCTGGGCTATTCGCCTCTACCCTCGCCGATGTTCCCTCTCCCGGAAGGTTGGCCCGCGCGTGCGCGCGAGTGCCCTGCCCTTCCTCGCATGTTTTCCCCGCCTCATTGTTCGCCCAGCTCGGCGGCGGTCGCGCCAGCCTGCCGACCCTGGCCGATGGCACTGCCGCTCTCAAGCAGTGGCCTGGCGTGCCTACACGCCCACCAGCGAATGTTCTGAGAACCTTTCTGTCGGGGGGCCCCAAACGGCGTGGTGACCTCACCGTGTGGTGAGTCAGTGGGCATCCGGGGTCACCGCACGGTTTCGGGGCTCGGGTCGTTCTCCGAGAGCGTCTCGGGCGACTGGGGCTTCCGAGGTCCCAAAACCGTGCGCTGACGGAACGTGCGGTGAGGTTTTGGGGGATTTCGAGGTCGTCGCACGGTCCGTCACCGCACCGCTTCGGGACACCATTTTTTGTGGTCTGCACGACATGATCTTAGAGCATTTCTGATTGTCTTGTTTTAATGCGTCGGGCTTTTTGTTCTAAGACTATTGGTTTCGCTCTTACAACATTATACGGTTTCTAAGGACATCTCGTGGCAGGCCTCTAGAAATGCCGGGGCGGTCGATCCCTGCTCAACGCTCTGCCCCGCCCCAGTGCCCACGTCACTCGTGACGTAGTTTGCCTCCGCAGCGGCGCCCGCGCCATTCGGAGCGCAGCTCAGCCCCGATGTGCGTGCGCGGCCCTCTTCTTGGGCAAGGCGGCGGGCCGCCTCCCCGCCCAGCGCCGGCAACCCCGGGAGGCCACCCCCTGCCCCTCCGGAGCCTTCTTCCTGCCAGGGGCAGGCCGCAGTCACCAGCGGTTTCGGACGGCCTCGGCGCGCAGTCTGCCCCGAGCGCCCCCTCGGCAAAGACGCCGCCGCAGAGCCGCTGGTCGGTGACTTCTTGCGTCGCCGTCCCGAGACCCACTCGGGACGAGCCCGCCGGCCCTGCTGCAGAACTGGAGTGCTCAGCGCGACAGCACCGGTCAGGTATACTTTCGGCGTCGGTCGTCGCAGACCGCTCGGTGGCACCACCCGGCAGGCCCGACGGGCGCCGAAGAGTTGCACTGTCGCTTGGCTGCTGTCGGCTCCCAGCTGTTGCCTCTCAGCGCAGGTGCGCAGGGTCAGCACCAAAGCGGCGCGCGGCAGGAGCGCCCCCTCACGGGCGCCCGCGCGCTCCAGGCACCGCCCTTGGCAGCACCCCCTCCGCAAGCCTCCTTCTCGGCGCGCCGCCCCTCCTGCTGCTCCACCCCGTCCCTTGCCGCCACGACCTGGCGCAGCACTGGGCGGCGCTGCCTCCCCAGACCAACCAACCACTGCGAACCCACAGGGCCCCCTTGCCTTGAAAAAAACTGCGGCGCGAGGTTTCTCTCTATGCTCGGCCTCCAGGAGTTCGTACCGAGCGCTGGGAACGGGAGAGAAACGCGTGCATACGTGAATAGGTCGCGCCCCTCTAAAGGCGGATAATCCAAAAATGTAAAGGAAATAATTTGGGCGATCTTCCACAGATAGGAAAATCGTCCGACACCCGCCTTCGGGAGGACATGCCAGACCTACGTCCAGACTGCCAAGGCGCGACATGGAGAAACATCGCAACGTCGTGGTCCCGGGCCACTCGCACACGCCCGCACCCAGACGCCCCCCCAGCTGCAGGCACGGCTACGTCTGGTGGGCGCCAGGGGTCCGAAGCCGGGGGCGGGGGGAGACGACGCCTGCACCACATCTTTTGTCGCGCCCAGCCAGTCGCCCAAAGTGCACTAGCACAGCGCAGCAGCGGCCAGGAACATCACCCAGGGGTTGGCCCGAAAGCGTTGCT